ACCAAAACAACATTAAAAGGTCCACAACATTCATAACTTAGGATGGGGCTGGACAAAATCAACAGCCCCAGGCCTGCCGGAACAGCCAGGTCTTAGTCGCTTTGCGGAAGGCCGGAAGGGTAGTAAGGGTCCGGATCTCAACGGGGAGATCGTTCCATAGGGCCGGAGAACTTGTTTTCCTCCCCAAAAACCAGGTGCGTCTTATACTTCAGAGCGTCTTATACTCCGAAAAATACGGTAAGTCCCACAGCACTGTCTCATTTCTCATCTTCTCATTTTTTTTCCTACGATCTTCTCCTATTAGTTTCTTATGATTTATCAATTGTTGTTTGTAACGTACGATTAATGATTGTAACTGTGAATGTGATCCATTACTTGTTGTTTATATGTACGTTGTGAGCTTCTGCACCAGAGACAAATTCCTTGTGTGTCCGATCATACTTAGACAATAAATAATATTCTAAGGAGATTCTCAACCATCCAGGTCCCGATTGTCCCAAATGTGCTTTTTTTTCCCAAGAGGCAACTGGACTTTCTGGTTTTTCCTGGAAGACATTTCCCTTCTCATCCAAGAAGCTTCTTCAGCTCTGGCTGGATGGTGGGGAAGGGAAGGATTGATCCTCCTTGCAGACAGCTGGTCATTTGCATCCTTTTAGAGGGTCGTTGAGGCCACTTGGAGGTTTATTTGTGTCCTCAGATAAATGGGCCCTTCCACACTCATTTGCACCACTAAGGTGACCCTGAGGACACTGTTAACCTCCAAGTGGCCTCTCAAAATAAAACAAAATTCAAATTAAAACCTAAAACTAGTCATCAAAACAATTAACATTTAAAATGTACAGTTAAGAGCCTGCAAAAGAATGAAGATCAGACAAGACAGAGAGAGACAGATTAAGAGAGACAGAGAGAGGGGAGAGGGAGATAAGGAGAGGAGGGACAGAGAGATAGAAAGGGGAAGAGAGAGAGGGAGAGAGAAAGAGGAGCAGAGGAAGAGAGAGATGAGAGGAGAGAGGGCAAGAGAGAAGGGAGAGGGGGCAGAGGGAGAGACAGATAGAGAGAGGAGAAAGGGAAAAAGAGAAACAAGGAGAGAAGGAGAGAGAAAAAAGGAGAGAGGGAGAGAGAAAGCAGAAAAAGAGGGAGAGAGGGAGAAGAGAGACAGAGAGAAAGGGGGAGAGAGACAAGGAGAGAGGGAGAGAGAAAGAAAGAGGGAGAGACCGACAGAAAGAGGAAAAAGAGGGAAAGGGGGAGAGAGATAAGGAGAGGAGAGAGAGAGAAGGGAGAGGGGGGACAGAGGGAGAAACAGATAGGGAGAGGTAAAAAGGGAGAGAGAGAAAGGAGGAGAGAGGAGAAGGAGAGACAAGGAGAGAGAGAAAGAGAAAGAGGAGGAAGACAGAGAGAGAAAGCGAGGAAAGAAGGAAAGAGGGAGAGAGAGGGAGAGAAAGAAAAGGAGAGAGGGAGAGAGAGAAAGGGGAAGAAAGGGGGAAAGAGGGAGAGGGAAAGCAGGAAAAGAGGGAAAGGGAGACAGAGAGATAAGGAGAGGAGAGAGGGAGGGAGAGAGAGAGAGAGAAGAGATGGGGGACAGAGGGAGAGACCGAGAGAGGAGAAAGGGAGAGAGAGAAAGGAGAGAAAAAAGGGGAAGAGAGACAAGGAGAGAGGAAAGNGAGGGGGTTGGACTAGATGACTTACAAGGTCCCTTCCAACTCTGTTAATCTGTATCTGCATCTAAACGTTGTGAAACCGAGGCACTGTCTGTAAACCATTGCTCATGTTTAGTCTGATGCATGGATCGCATCAGCCAAAAAGAATGCTTGGTCCACGCAACAGAATTAATAAAACCATACAAGGGTATTTCAGTGGATGTAGTTTGGAGGACAGGGAATGGTCACGGATGGAACATTTGATTCAAAATATGATTTTGACAAGCACACCGATCTTCCCCGTCACCCTCAGTTCGGGCCGGAAGGCTCTGAATTTATTAAGATTTGGGGAGGGTGCAAGCCATCCTTCCTGACCATTATGCTCCATCAGAGAACCAGGTGTTCACCTATTCACTCTCTCTCGCTCACACACACACACACACACACACAAGCACACACACACAAAGGTTGCATTAGGTCAGTGTTTCTCAACCTTGGCGACTTTAAGTCCACAGGACTTAAAGTCGCCAAGGTTGAGAAACGCTGCATTAGGTGACATGATAGCAGTCTTCCAGGATTGGAGGGGCTGCTGCCCCAAAGAAGAGGGGAGGGTCAACTTATTCTCCAAAGCACCAGAAGGCAGGAGAAGAAACAAGAGGTGGAAACTAATCAGAGAGAGAGAAGCAGCTTGGAACCAAGGAGAAACTTCCTAACAGTGAGAGAACAATTAATCAGTGGAACAGCCTGCCACCAGAAGTTGTGGGCGTGTCATTGCTGGAGGTTTTCAAGAAGAGACAGTCATTTGTCTGAGATGGTCTAGGGCCTCCTGTTCGAGCAGGGGGTTGAACTAGAAGACCTCCAAGATCCTGCCCTATCCTACCAATATTCTATTCTATTCTATTCTTACTGTTCTGTTCTGTTTCAGTTCTGTTCAGTTTCTATTCTGTTCTGTTTCTGTTTCTAGCAATAGCAATAGACTTATATAGACTTATATACCGCTGCATAGGGCCTTCAGCCCTCTCTAAGCGGTTTACAGAGTCAGCATATCGCCCCCACAGTCTGGGTCCTCATTTTATCCACCTCGGAAGGATGGAAGGCTGATGGAACCCTGAGCCGGTGAGATTTGAACAGCCGAACTGCAGAACTGCAGTCAGCTGAAGTAGCCTGCAGTACTGCATTTAACCACTGCGCCACCTCGGCTCATATAGTTTCTATTCTGTTCTTTTCTGTTTCTGTTCTGTTCTGTTCCTAATCTGATCTGTTCCATTCTATCCTATCCCTATTCCATTCTACTTTACTCTAAAATCTAAATCTAAAATCATCTAAAATCTAAATCTAACAGAACAGAAAATCTCTTCCATTCCATTCTATCCTATCCCTCTACTTTACTCTAAAATCTAAATCTAAAATCATCTAAAATCTAAATCTAACAGAACAGAAAATCTCTTCCA